TCGCTGCTGGAACTTCTTTTTCTGGAGTGATTCCAGAAATTTTGAAGACTCTTGTTGAGCTTAAGGAAGACGAAGACCTGGTCAACTAGCGCTTGGATAGGTAGGAAAAGATATTTGAGCTTATCCTTTCCAGACTTCCCCTGTAGAACTCAAACCCTTAATTTTTCTGAAAATTCTTATGCACTTTTGTTTGTGTTGTTTTTTATTAAGTGTTCGTGTTTGTTTCTTTTGTTATGTACTTCTGCGCCTTCTGGCGTTTTTATTTTAATGAACTTATTTCTTGTTCTTATTTTTTTTGTCTATGTCTTTTTGATTGCTGACAAAAAGAGAGAGAAACTTAATGATTTTGATATATCTATATCCATGAATCAGAACCCAAACTATTTAAATATTTCTACTAACAATTACATGAGAATATTCTATTAACTGTTTCAAGGAAAGTAATGAATATCAAAAGATACTGAAGTTTTCAGATCAGATTGTAAGACAACTAATTTCTGAAGAAATGGTCTCTAAGTTTGAAGAATTTATTTTAAAATTGAGAAAGACTTCCAACAAGGCGTTAAGTTTGAAAAGCTTTAACCAGGATCTGAAGATTTTTTAAGATCTCAAATCAGGCTAAGTCTTTCAACCCAGAATTCTGAAGTGTTGATTCTGACAACTTGGATTCTGGAATAGTTCTAGTAACTTCTGAAGAAAACCAGATTCTGACAGAAGATCATTCTAGCTCTATAAAATGGTTAATCAGGAAAGTTCTCTTTCATTCTGATTTTATCTTTTTGGGACTATACATCTCAGGAGGAGCTTTATGCTTCTTGCTGATATGACTTTCTGCGATTACCCTATATAAATTGTTCATCAAAATACATTGTTTTGTCATCACCAAAAAGGGGGAGATTATTAGAAAAGTATTTGGTTATGCATCTATACCTTTGAGTTTTGATGATAACAAAGTAGTATTGTGTAGCTTTAACAACCAGTTCTGATTCTGAAAAAATGACGTGCAACGTCATCAATTTCTGAAGTTTATGTTCCGTAATACGCTTCTACACTGATTTACTTCTAAGAAGCTTTTGAGAAGACGTCATGTTGCTGCTACAATGTTCTCTTAGTTACTGCTTCTGGATGTGACTCTGATCATCAAACTTTTGAAGAAAGGCGAACTTCTAAAGTTTCTAGCTGAAAATTCTAAGGATCTCAAGTCAGACGTTGATGTTACCAAGATTGTGCTTGATGATTCTGAAGATTCTGATTTCAAGCTACGTGACTCTTTTGTTCAAGCTTCATCAAATTTTCATCAGAAGCCAATGAGTTTGAAGATAAGGATAAAGGATACATGATCAAAATAGTAGACAATACAAAACGAAATTGTTCCTCCACTACCTGATTTTTGTAGGCAAAATGACGATACTATTTGTCACACCTGTCACTATTCTGTTAGTGAACAACTACATTTTCGTATTCCCGATTTTCCTTCCAACGGATCCTTTTTCATGCTATATATATATATATATATATATATATATATATATATATATATATATATATATATATATATATATATATATATATATATATATATATATATATATATATATATATATATATATATATATATATATATATATATATATATATATATATATATATATATATATATATATATATATATATATATATATATATATATATATATATATATATATATATATATATATATATGGGACTTGGAGACTTAAAGAAAGTTGCAGAAATAACAAGACTGTTTCTATGTGAAAAGCTTTCAACTTTGTGCAAACTTTTCTTTGAGTATTTCATTTGTGTAAATCTACTTGTGTAAGAAACACTTTGTAAACATACATCTTTGTATTCAAACTGTTTGTTTGTAGTTCCTTGAGGGACCAGTTAGGTCAGTATCTTTGATATGACATTGATTGTGTGTCTTTGTGGTTTGTTAGTCACCAGTTGTAGCTAGTGCATTTGTAATCAATTGATTATAGTGGATTAAGTCCTTGTGTATAAGGTGAAATCATCAGGCGGGTGGACTGAATTAGCTTTGAGTTTCAAGTGAATCAAGATAAAAATGCTTGTATCTCTCTCATTGTTCAATCTTTTGATTGTTGAGTTTTTGAGTTGGTAAAAAAAAATTTAAAAACCCAATTCAAACCCCCGTTTCTTTTGTTTTTCACACCTTCACAAGCCTCTAGGATAACCATCTCCTCGTCTTCTAAGGAAGAAATCCCCACTTCTGTTCGAAATTCCCACGATGGAAGAGGCAACTATTATCTTTTTGTTCTTGGTAAAATAAAAGAAAAAAAATAAATCACCACAATTGTCATAATCGTTAGAGGGGATAATTGTAATCCTCAAATACTACAACTCTACGAAAACTTAAACCCTATTTTGAACATTTCCTTACAATTCATACTCACAACTACTATAGAAGGAAGGAAAAGTAGAAGGAATCCATACCTGAGAGAGTTTTGAATGAAAAGTCAGGGGTCTATGGAAAAGTTTTGCAGTTTAGAGGAGCTAGGAAAAGTCGTGAGAACAAAATAGAGCAAGTGAAAAGGGAAGCTTTAAAGAATCCTCAAACCTTTTTTACTCCACTATAATTTTGTAAAGCTTAGCACGCTTCTGACATGTAACACTAGGGCTTAAGGACTCGAAAAATAGGTCATCATTACTTACATTAAATGGAAGTAAGCATGATTATCTAAATGATTGATTGACATTCCTATCAAATATTCTGGTTAATTAAGAGACATATAGCAAGGGTATTATGCCAATAAAAAGGAAGGATTCACCCCAAGCTGAGGGATTTGCCTCCTATTAAAAATGGTCGCCTTTAACTGAGGGACTTTCCCCAAGCTAATGGATTTTCCTCCCATTAAAAAGGTTGCCTTCAGTTGACGAATTTGCCCCAAGCCGGTGGCCTCATCTCCTATTAAAAAGTCTCCTCCAACCGAGGGACTCACCACGAGCTGAGGGAATTTTCTCCCGTTCGAAAGGGCCATGCCTCATACCACGAAATGGAACCTGAAATGAGCCTTAAAAGACTTATCCCTTTTACAAGCCCTCATGTTTGAGAGACTATGTATTGTTATATTTGTGAGAATCCCAAATTGGGACGACTCTAGGGTCTTCACCCAATAAGACATCTCTTAGGCGCTACCTTTACAAAGTGTGAGATCTTTCCCTTGGGAACAGATGACGTGTATAACACCACTATATCCCCATGAAGTCATACTAGAATGAGTCATGCAATGACTCCCTTAATAATAGGTGGTCAACAACCTCTTCAAGTCAAAAGGGAGCGGTTACCGCCTCCTAGGGTTTCTAAGTCTTAGGACCAAGAGCCTCTATAAATACTTCTCCTCTATTGGGAGAAGATGACATATCCTAACTTAACCATATATCGTATAATACACGGAGCCTCTCACATCATGTAAGATGGTCTTTCATATCACCATAAACACCGTAAAACCCCATAAAGGACTTCTCACTGCTGCGGGAAAGCCCTAACTGTTATAAATCTACCAAGACCTTTGAGTATCCGCTACCCTTGTACACACATGTACTTTTTGATTAGTTCAGATTTCTTGTGTTTGGGGTTAGGATATAGACATATGAGTCATTCGAGGAATAAAAGCCGACCATGGAAGGTTTCCATGCCGATAGCCTATCCTGAAGGAACCTATGTCGATTAGGCTTTCTTTCAAACCCTTGCAGAGCATCCCTAAAAAAAAACTTGGTGCAATGCAAACATGATATCTCCTTATTCAGACTTGTTTCGACAATTAGATCGCTAAAAGTGTAACATGGTGTTTTACGAACCTTGTGTTCAAAAATTAGCTTGATTCAACCATTAATAAATTTTAAATCGCTTTTTAAAAAAAAAAAAACTAATTAGAAAAAAGCAGAAATCTTTAACCATAACTCTCAAGTAATAATATCAAATAATAATATCATAGTAAAACATGTGTGAATATAAAGAGGATCCTCTCCCACGAGGTATCTAGTGGAGGGTGTCCAGTGTCATTCTCATCCATTCAATTTTGTAATTAATGATTTGATTAATACACACTACAAAAATTAAGTGGCTTGGATTTCACTTAAACGAATTTCCATGGAAGAGAATCTGTTCCGGTTCCTCTCACATCCCTTATTAGCACGTTGAAGAGGGAGGAAGAGAAATATTAAAAAGAAGTGTAAAAATAATCCTAGTAGGTAGGCCAAATAAAATGAATGACATTATAATAAATAATAATAAATAATAATAGTAATATAAAAAGAGAAAAAATGCAAAAGTGATTAGAAGATATTAAAATTGAGGAGACGAATTCTCTCATAAGAATAGTTATAGGCACAGTCTTTTATACATGCCAAATCTTCAATGATATTGAAACATAATATTACCGAACAATGATTTGCTTGTATTTAATTTATCACAAAGGTGAACAACTATTTGGTCTAAATCTAAGCAAGAATCTCAATGTAGCACTGCTCAACCCAAAGGTTTATGGTTTGTTTCCACACTCAACAGCTATACACGTGAAGCTAGCATCATCCTATGATATGAGCAGTTTCTTAGGATACTTATGTATTTGTTTTTTGATATGACCTCATAGTATTACTAATTTTGGAATAGGTAAAAAAATGGTTCTAAAACATATGTTTATTCACAATAAATTAATTGTTTATTAGTACTAGTACACCTTTGAATCCATTATCATAGATCTATGATATGATCCTTGATGCAGACAAGTCAACAACCACACACAATATAAGAGCATTGATTGAGGCACAATATAATATATTTATATAATATACATTTGAATAAACATTCAAGCACTTGTTCATGAAATTACATAAGCCATTTTGTGAAACTTAAGGATAAATGCAAAACAGAAAATGAAGAATAATGATTCAATAATGCCTACTATATAAACTCAATCAGATTGATCTCAAATTGTAGAAAGATTAAATTATGAATGAAACTAAGATGATGGCATATTGAAGTGGAAAAGCCATGATATCACGAATGCGAAAACCATACAAGCAAGGAGAAAATTCAAGAAGCGGTGGCCGTGCCAAAATCTTTGAGTTTCTGGTGTAGGAGCGGCTGTTGAGAGCGTGGAAGATGCGGTTGTATTGGTACTGTCAATGACATGCTCTGTTGAATCCTCGTTTGCACTATAAACATTCCGTGCAACCGAATGACAAATTTCACAGGTTCTGCAGAAAAAATTATGCAGAAATTATTAGAAATTCAAATCCGAAGAAAATTCTGTTGAGGCAAATGATAGTAATCAGTTGTAACATTGTGGAGGCGATTCAAACCCTCGTCTCTTTACCTCTCAAACTAGTATGTTCTCTCACAAAACCACTTTATATCATCATCATAAGGGTAATATTATCAGTGAATGAAATTTTGATGCTAGAAACAAACAGGCAAACTAAGGCAAACTAAGAACTAAGGTCATATCATTATGACGAACGCGCGCAATAGTTGAAACATCATACCAAACGAATTTGAAACTCTGCAATCAAATGTATAAAGAGTGACACCTCTCACCTGACACGATTCAGATGTTTCACTTTACAAGTAAGTTTTTCTAAATATGATCCTTCCACTTTTACAAATCCACAACTGGTTTTGGCAAACCATTTAATGGTTTCAATGTTCCAAAACAAAGGAAAAAAAGATATCGTGAATTATTTGCCACCAATTAAGACACCAATCACAACATATAAAAAGAAGATTCCAAAATTGAAAAGATTCAAACTCTTTCCATTAGAATATTAATTCTAGCAACGAAATTAAGCACATGGATGTATATCTGTCCACATTCTTACATAAACCATAGATTCTTCCTCATCAAATGGCCCCAACAAAATGCTTTTGAATGGACAATGAACCATGGAAGGTTTACCAGTCAATCAAATAATAAACCATGTCCATTCAAATCTTAAAGCACAGAAAACATGTTTTTATTCAGACTTCAGAGACTGTTGCAATTAAAATCAAGAAAAAACACTGCGCCACTGCGTAAAAGTCATAGATGTTATATTATCTGCAAGTGACACCGCAGAACCTGTACCGAAAGTATGAGCATGTTTCACCTCAAAGAATTGCAATAAGAATCTGGACAATAGTACTGTCAATTCAGTAGTTTATGGTACTCACAAATCACAACAATATAAAACACTAACACTAACACAAAACCTGACACATTGATGCCAGTAATAATTTGAAAAAATAACTAATAGAATCTTGTTATCATATGTATCGGTATCCGACAGAGACACCGGTTAAACTAACACTAAATACACCTTTGATCACAGTTGTTGGAGTTATACAGGTATTAATCTAATCATAAATCTTGAATGAATATATTATCCGGGACCAGTGATTTATTATGGATTAAAATATTCTCTATGGCACATCATGAGCAAGCAACTATCATCCACCAAGATATTTTTTTTAATACATGAATAGTAGTCAGAAGGGGTCAAATCTCAACTTTAAAAGAGAGAAAACTAAATAAAAACAAATTAGAAAGAAGAGTAATAGAGATTCCTAAATTTCAGAAAAGGAAGAAAGCAACAAAGAATCCCACTGCACTAAGACATGTCAGCAAATCAGTGAGACTGACTGATGCTTTAAGCCTTTATTTTTCCATCAACCTTCTTTAGATTATTTAATCTTCTATCACTTTACCCTTTCTTGAAGAAAAATAATTGAGCTTGCTTCCTTGAAAATTTGTTCTTTAAAGCTTCTAAATTGCTTTTTTTCATCATCTTATTCATCTTTACACTCATCATCAATTAAACAATCCATATCAATAATGACAATTCATTCTCTAATCTATATAGCATCAAGGCTTTAGATTGAAACCGACTTAACACTGACACGCTTTAGATTGAAACCGACTTAACACTGACACACGTGGTTACGTTCAATTACTTTAACCGCTGGCGTGACGTGGTTACGTTCAATTACTTTAACCGCTGGCGTGACGTGGTTACGTTCAATTACTTTAACCGCTGGCGCTCTATACGCTAGTGTCGGTGTATGGTGTGTCATGTGTTGGGTGTCTGTGTTTCTGGCATTCAATTAGATCGAGTATGACCGTAAAATGCATGACCGTGATGTGGCATCATCTTAATCACAAATTGAAAATTTTCTCAATGACATCAATAATAAACAAAAGGGTGTCTAAAAACTGCTAAAATGTTCAAAAAAGAGTAAATTTTGAGTTAAAATTATGAGAAAAACAAGGGTTTGATTTGAGACTGACCTATTTCCCTTAATCTTGAACCAAGCTTCAGCACAGTTTTTGTGAGCAGCAGCTAAATCCTCTTTACAAGAACAGCCCAATTCAATAGGAGGACCAGATTCATGACTCTCACTTTCCAAACCCATATGACAAATCCTACAATCTTTCTCAACTTTAGCCAAATGCACCTTAATCTCAGGAACCCCAATTCTAATTTCAACAGAACAATCAGTGACAGAGGAAACTCTAGCAGAATCATGAACACCACCACCACCACCACCTCCAAGCTCAGGATCATCAGAAACACAAGCAAAAGAGTAATCATCATAGGAACCACCATTTGTTGAATAGAAACGAGAATAGCTTGAACCATCATCAGCATCAGAGAAACATAAACTCCCTTCACCACTCACATCACTTCCAACAACAGAACTAGGATGATGTTGATGATGATGATGAGGATGATGATTTCCTTGCTCTAAATCAACATGGGTCATCTGTAAAGATGACATTTTTCAACCCAACAAGAAAAAAAAACACAAAAAACAACAACAGGGTTTTCTCAGAACAACATGAAATGTCTCAAACTTTGTAGCTTTGGGGTTTGTGTAACAACAACAATAATGAAAGAGAAAAGCACATATTTATATATATAAATATATAAAGAAATGTTATAACAAAATCATAGAAAAAATTGTAGAAAAAATCTAGAAAAAAGAAAGGGATAAAGAATTGAGAAACTGGATTAGGTGAGTAAATGTTTCAACTCCATTAATAAAAAGTTTCAAGGTATGGAAGAGGTTGAAGAAAGTTGAAAGGTTTTATTAGTGTTGTGGGGTTGAAGAATGATGGGTGTGTTGAGAGAAGGAGACTAGTGTCGTTGTTGAAGAAGGGAGGGACAGTGACAGTGGCAAAGAAAACAGAAACGTGCTATGAGAGCACACAGAAAAATCTCTCATGAGATGACATTGCATTGATAAAGGAGTGAGTGAGGCATGGAAACAAAAGAAAAATAATTATTATAAATTAAAGATGTTTCTAACAAAAACTCTAAGTACATTATTTAAGGATTTTAAGTAAGAATATTATTTATTGAAAAAAAAAGTTAATTTTAGCCATTTTATTGCTTCACAAATTTTCTTATGAAAGTAAGTTTATGAATTCCTCTAAAAATCTTTCCAATTTCTAATAGATAGAATTAGAAGGCAAATAAATGGTTGGAATATTAACATTTTGTCCTATGCAAGTAAGACCACTCTTTTATAAGTAGTCATATTAGTTATACCTACTTAAGTGATGAGTTTTTTACTAACTCTATATGCAAAGTTATGGAGAAATTTATTGAATTTTTTACAGGGGCACTGCCCTAGTTTAAAATCCTTAATATTAAATTATCTTAATCTGAAAATAATTTACGAGAGTGTCCTTATTTTAGAATTTGACGGTTCACTCAAGCGACGAGTTGATTTATGGTTTTTGACAGTGTAGGTGTTCGCCATTCAAGTGGCGAGCACATGAAGAATCGGTTTTCTTTTCATATTTATATTATGTTTAATTATTTAAAAAAATAATTTTAAATATTAAAAATGTATTATATTAATTTAATTATGATATTAATGTTAAATATTTATTATATATCATGTTTAATTATGATATTTAATTTAATTATAAATAATTTTTATAGCAGCATTATATATCATGTTATTATATTAATTTTATTATATAATATTATATAGAATAAACAATATTGTGAATGATATAATAATTTAATTTTCTTTCTGTCATGTATTAAAAAAGAATGAATGATATTCGTCCAAGGAGTTGTATAGTTTTTACAGACTCTCGGTCATTGAATGACCGAGTTCAAACGTAATTTTTTTTTTTATAAATAGATGTATTGTGCATCAGCACAAATCATTCGTGTCTAGTGTTACATGTTTTAAACATGTTTGTTAGAGCTCTTGTTTTTTATGGACAAGAAAAAAATCAGTGTTTACCTAGATCCGCAGTGGAATTTCAGAACCGTGATTGTAGCAATTAACACGGGGTTTCGACAGTTGGGCGGTCGTCGCATGACGGTGAGAAAAATGGAGTATCGTTTTCCGTATATAACACCTGACTGATTCCAACCCGGAGGGTACGTACATGTATTACTTGGATCGTATAGAAAATGATGAAGATGCCCAATGTAGTTTTCAGCACATAGTGGCGAAGTTAACAGAGGAGTTGCATATCCACTTGTGTTAGTTGCTGTTGTTGGTTAGCGTGTATGTTAGCTCCCTGAGTTTTATTTTTAAGTTTATGGTTGTAATTTGCTAGTATTGCTGGAATTTAAAAGTTGTCTTGAATTACAAATAAATGTTGGATCACATAGAAATCAAGTGCGAGCAAAATAAATAAAATTATCTAGACGGTTGGTTTGACGGGCCGACAACATTTGGACATTTTCTACGCATATGACCTATTTCTCTGCAAATCTCACACCTTCTCTTTTCTTTTTCAGCGTCGTCCATCTCAGTTCTAATCCTAGTACTGGTTGGACGTCCCTTTTTATTTCTTCTCATGGAATCGTCATGGCATAGAGTAAAACCTTCATATTTTAGCCAGTTCTCCTCGTGCGATAGTTTCAGGAAGCTTTGTTTGCAGACTTTGAATATGTTAAGTACTGTGAAGACCTCTGAAATGTGAATTGTGTAGTCTTGTCGTATGCTAGAATATGTTGCAATCACGTGGGAGCAAGGTGTCGCTACTGCGAAAATCGGCGCTGGCTAAACAGAAGAGTCGCCACCGTGCGTTATTTATCCCAAATGAGGGAAAGGAAACGCTCAGAGTAAACCTAACGCAAAGACGGGAAAGGAATGGTCATCGCAACCAAATTCCTGGATTCGGGAGTCGGTTACGTAAGGGGAAGGTATTAGCACCCCTCACGTCCGTCGTACTCGACGGGATCCACGCTTGTTTTCTAGTACGGATTGTTATTCTGTCTATTCTAAAGGTCTGAGGTTAAAAGAAAAATGACTCGGCAAAGTATCGCACTTTATGCCCACGTATTCCCGTCTGCAACGAGAAATCAGAGTCAACGTAGTTCGTCTACCTACGGGAAAGGAGGGGAAGGTTGCTCGCTAGGATACCGCATCCTATGCCTACGTACTTTCATACAGCATGAAAGATCAGAGCAAACGTAGTTCGGGCCACAGAAGACACAAGCTTGTCTGAATGTTTTTTATCTCCTTATGAAAGGGTTTTTCCTGATTAAGAGTCCAAGCGGACAAAAATGACGTTTTGATGTTTGTTCTCAGTCTTTTACGCAAGAACTGTTTTTTTTTATGTTTGCAATCTCTGACGCACTAGAGACTATGATTTGAGGGTGACTACGTCGTATGTCACCCTAAGGGTAACACACTAAGCAATCAGGTTACTGAAGAGTGACCCTCCAGCAACCTTTCTCAAATAGCTTAAGGCTCGTAGCGTACGGCATCGACTATCCTTATTACTGTGTTTTGAATTGTTCTGAGATAGAAGAGAAGTCTAAAAACCTAGGGTTTGAAAGGGGAATCAAAACTACCCTAATGTTATCATGCATGGGTTACAACCTAATGTCTGTCATAATTCCCTCCTGCACAGAGGAAATTAGAGATCCTAGGGGATAAACGGAAAAGAAACAGCAGATATACAGTAAACAGTAAAATGCATGAGATGCATCAATAAACAATAGGCAAAGTGAAACAGTTTCACTTCAAACCTAAGGGAAAATCAACAGACAATACAGCAAAGAAAACTACACCTAACACCAGCTCAGACAGCAACACCAACTCCTACAGCAAGCAGTTCAAACAGTACCAGCTCTGGCAGCTACAGTTGATTAACAGCAAAAGGTTGACAATAACAACTTCAATCAAGATCCCATCCTCACTTTCCAATGATATTCAAGCTTCAGATAAGCTCTTATCTTCCAATAATCTTCAACTTTAGCAAACACTGAATTCCAACCAGTAGACATCTTCAAACAACAATAAAACCCTAATCTTCAACAGATATCCAGCTTTGACAAGCACAAGCTTCCTCTTATCCAGTCATCAATACACTTTTCATCTTCAATAGGCTTCCATCTTCAATGCAGACACTCACAGGAGAGAATCAAGTGATAGATGAAGTTGAAATGTTAAGAGGCTTAATGACAACCCAGGGAAATCACTAAGATCTCAACATAGCTAGTGAAAGTTATCCTCAAGGTTCTACCTAATCAAAGCATGCTCTACATCCCTCCTAAGGAGAGATGGAACTCTTTTAGGTTACCATATGTCATAGGATGGAGTAGAGGCACAAGAAGCTCTCTATGTTTAACAGCAGGAATCAGTCTACTCTAGAGCTCTCCCTATATCTCCTATCTCCTAAGTCTTCATCAAGCGATCTTCAAGCACAAGCAACTTAAGATCCAAGCATCAATATTTGTTTTCAATCATCCTCAAAGTCTTTATACAATCCTCAAGCCAAGCACAAGCCCCAACACCCAAAGAAAAGGCCCAAAACCCAACAAACAAAACAACTTCCCAATAGGGAAACACACCAATATCAATCAACTTGCAAAAAACAAATAAAATGGAAAGATTCATCATAAAATCCTAGATTAATTTCTAAAGGACCCTAGCTATGTACCATATACCCCACACAAACCCCAAGTCCTAATTCAACTAAAAACCCAAGAACTATGTGTTGAAATGCACCTATGTTAGGTTGAAACCCTAATTCAAGCACACTTGCTTCACACCTCTCAAAAACAATTAAATTTAAGTCACAAAAATGTGACAAAAATCCAGGGGGAACCTAATACTCTAATCTAACCATAGGAAAAAGAAGCACATAAAAAACCAAAATAAAATGGTCATACTAAATTCAGCAAGTAACATGTATCAAATGAAAATGAAATAAAAGCTATTAAAAGTAAAAATAAACCAAAAATAGAAAAATGCATGAAATGGCATTTTTATTCTTTTATAATTTTCTTGATGTCTTGATGAAAATGGGAAAAAAACTCTCAATCAAAAATATTAATTTTCCAATTAGTTATGATTTTTTTAAGAACCTAAAAATAAAGTGTGAAAATATAAGAAAATATGTAAAAAAAAAGGAAAATTAGCGTGTCAAATAGCAATCAGAATCAATGCGTTTTAATAACTGGGCCCAGAGAGGGGGTGGGGATAGCAGCGCGCCTAAGCCCAAGATACCATCAGAAATTAAGTGGAAAATAGAAATAAAAATGAAAAAATCGTGGTGTGAAAAGCAATGAATATTAGTGTAAAATCTAATGGGCTTTGGGAGTGGGGTGTGGATATCATCAAATTCATTTAGGCCCAAGCTGCAACTTAAATGAAACGGTGCGTTTGGATGACTCTGAAATCCTTCACAAGCTTAGAGCAAATCGTGGCCAATGGATCTTGATTTGAGTCAAAGTCTTCCTCACATCCAATGGTTGTTAGATCATCTTCTTCATTTTGAATTGTGGAGGGAGAAACAGCCATGGAAACAGAGCTTGCAACTTCATCTTCTTCCCAATCGTGTTCCCTCAAATCTCCATCAAAAATCAAAAACAAAAACCCTAACTCACTCCAAATTCTACACTGAATCTAACCATGGCATCCACAATCATTGAAACATCCTCCTCCTCAAAACACGATGGGAAACTCAGAAATTGGTCAATCACTAAAACTCACCAATCTTGAAATTGAGTAGCTTAATCTCTTCACCACGTTTCATTGAGCATTTCTAGCCATCAAACTAAAGTTCTAACACCAAGAACACCAAGATACTCGCATGAACAGAAATTGCATCATTCAACTAATTGTATCTAAATCAATCCTAAAGCTACTAGAAAGCTTCTACTAATCACCTACAATCATTCTAACCTAACAAAGTCTATTGAAACTACTTAAATTAAGCTGTGGATTGAAAAGTACATACCTGCGAAATCTTGATGCGCAGAGGTATGAAATCTTCAAATCAAGCTTTGGGAACTTCCAGACACCTTCAATGAGTCATAATCTTGCTTCTGTATGCAAAAGAATTGGTTGAATCCTCTTGAATCTTGGAACCCGATAGTGAGTTGCAGGCTGAGAAATCCAAATGCTAACACACTATTCTCCACCAATCTTGCTATGGATTCTATCTGGAATCATTCACCAATGCTTGATCAAGGTTCTGAGATCAAAAGAATGGCTTGAATGTAGCTGAAACTTGTAACTGAATTCTGTTTTGCACATGGAAGTTTCAAATTGCAATCTCACAAATCTCTCCCAATTCTCTCCAACTCTAGCTTTGGATCACTTCATATGCATATATAGAGTGTGAATGAAGACTCTAGAATCTTCTGGATCAATCCAATGAGAAAATCAACTTCTCATGTCATGAAAACCTCTTCTTATGCTATGCACATACCATCTCATGTTTTGGCTTGCAATTCACTTGGTTCTGAGTTGAAATTCTCTCCAAATGAGATATTGGAGGTGTATGGATGGAAAGGAGCCTTGCATTTGCCTTGACAAGTGATTTTGCATATGTGCCTTATGATGCAAGTAGCCCATTTACAAAGCATGTCCTAAAAATAACCCTCAATTCAAAATTGTGGCAATGTCAATGTTCTCAAAATGCATTTTACAATCAAATTGGTATGTCATATGGCTTGGTTTGGTTTTGTAGGTCAAAAACCCTAATTTCCAACCTTGGTTCATTTAAAAAAATACCTTCATTTTAGGCCATTTTGGTGACTTCATGAAGCAAGCCATTCCAAACTCTCATCTCTTATCTAGCCTAAAAACATCATTTTGAACACATCTCATGTTGGACATTTTTTCATTTGAGGAGTGGAAGATGGAGATTTGGACCTAAGTTGAAAAATGACCTGTAATTCAACTTTCCCAAAATACCCTTGGGTTGCCAAGACCATAACTTGAGTTATACAAATCCTATTGAGGACTTCTAGTACTTAAATTAAATCTAAGATCAATAACTATAACTCTTATGTTGGCCAATAATACATTTGAAAACTCCTTGATGGGAAAAAGTTGCTTGGAAGTCAAGTGACTTTCATAGATAAATTTCAGTGTCCTCTGATGACCCATAACTTGCAAGAACCATAACTTGAGTTCTATAAATCTCCTTGAAGACTTCTAGTACTAAAATTAAAGCTATTGAGTAGCTCTACAAGTTTCATCTTGACCAATAATTCATTTGAAGCTTGCATTTTGACTTATCTGGCTTGGAAGTTAGGCCTAAGTTAGGGTTTTTTACACTGAAACCCTAATTTAGTAACTCCTCTTCTTCTTGATTCCGTTTGATTTCTCCTTGGAACAACACCACACTTGTACACACATATGAATTCATGAATCCCACATCCTCCAATTAAGCCTTGATGCTCTTCAATCACTCAGTTGACCTAGGATTGACCTAGGGTTGACCCAGATGAAACCCTAGTTGACTGTACTTCAATTATGGCTCTTGTACTTATATCAATGACTTGTCTCATCTTCAAAATGACCCTCTAGGTCCTCCATGATCTCTTCCATACCCTCATTCATGGTTCACACACTCATTGATGATCTTCAATACCCCTCAAGTTAGGAGAGAAATCCACTAGTTGACCTTCAAACTTCTCAAAGCTTCAACTCATTTCTTGATTACTTGGATGATCTTGAACTTGAATAAAACCCCTTGATGGGCCTCTTTCTGATAAGAATGGCACTTGATCCCTTGTTGGATGCCTTATTATGCTATGCTATGCAAATGATTAGACTATGTATAGGACTTATTATGCAAATGATAATGCAATTGAAACATAAACCAAGGGAAATAGGTTGAGCAAATTTTAGGGTGCAACACAAGGCAAGTGAAATGCTTGAAATTTTCCACAGTTACACCAATGATTCCTCAGGTCAACGCTAAGAGTACCCGTTGGACGATCATCGTTTTGATTAATTTTTTTCTGCACCATGAAACAGAACCTTTCGCGATCAAATTGCATGACATTGTGTGTGTTAGCCTCGACTACCTCATCAGCCATTCCCTTGTTGCAACCATCCGTGAAAACTTTCCCTGTAGCTAGCATTTTGGTTCATTTGCGTCCTCGTTTACCAAAGAGTGAACCCATTTAATAGTATGTAGATTGAACCGAAGCAGTGATTGGAAGGTTTTTGGTTGCCTTTAATACAAAGTTCATGGCCTCTGCCAAGTTAGATGTCATATGTGCCCAACGTTTCCCTCTGTCAAATGCTCTAACCCACTTCTCCCTAGGTATGTTGTCTATCCAATTTGAAGCCTCAATGTCTATTCTTCTGATTTCTCCGTGATAGTAGTTAAATGTAGCCTCCGTCAATGCGTAACCTGTAATAGAAATTATATGAAAAACATAGTAAAAGTATGATACAATAGTTGAGATAACTGAAATGTATTTTGTTACCCATGTTAATAAGTTTTTTGCGTAGATCCTTGTCCTTAATCTCGCACATGAAGTTATGTGCAATGTGTCTAATGCAGTAGACATGTGAAGATGGTGGATGTTGCCATCCGTTTTCGGGATTGTTATATGCACTCTTTATCGATTCATGTCTATCAGAGATTAGGAACAAATTAGGTTGTGGTGTCACGTGTAACCTCAGGTTCCTTAGGAAAAAGCTTCATTTCACCTTCGACCAATGCGAATGCTATTGGAAAAATGTTTGTGTTTCCATCTTGTGCCACCGCCATCGATAGAGTTCCTATGTACTTGCCATACAACCAAGTTCCATCTACTTGCACAATGGGCTTATAGTAGGCGAAGCCACGTATACACGGACGAAATGCCCAAAACAGACGATGGAAGATTCATTTTTCAGAGAGTTGAGAACCATCATTTGAAATTGCAGGTAGGGTTTGCAAATCTATAATGGTTCTTGGAAGGTAGGTTTTCATTACTAGTATCTACTGTGTTAGGTCGTTGTAAGATGTTTCTCAATTTCCATAGAGTGACTCTATGGCCTTACACTTAGCGATCCATACTTTCCTGTAAGATATTATGTACCTGTATTTTTCAAGAATATGGGCAATGATCACCTTCACCTTAAGTGAAGCGTCTCAGTTGACAAGTTCTCTGATGCTATGGCTAATCATTTCTGAACTGAGCTTCCTATGGTCTTGTGCCACAGACGTGGTAGTGCATGTGTGAGGCCCAGACAGCTTACTAATCACCCATTTTAAGTTCCTTCTTCTCAAGGAAGCTCTGCACTTGAAATTGCAGTCTTGTTTCTTACACTTAAATACATGTCGTTCATTGTTAGATTGATAAACCCAATAGTCAACACTGTGTGTTATATGCCAATGTTGTAGAGCAAAGACGCAAGCTTCCTTGTTTTCAAACTCCATCCCAATCTCTATTTCTTCACCTATATGGTTTGGTATGACACTTCCAAACACGAAGGTTGTTTCATCATTTTCCATACATACATTTTGCATATGTGCAAGTGGGTTATACAAACTTATTGGTTGTGTACGAATCGGCTGCGTAGACGCGACAATTATATCTTCATCGTCTTCGTCATCGTTGTTACCAAAAATATCTTGCATCCTGACCTTCTAAATATCGTCATTGCTTGCTTCCCCAACCTCTTCATTTGGTATGAAAGGTTGGTTGTTTTGTGTTGGTTCATCGTCGGATGTTTGACTCATTCCATACTGGTGTGACTGTGTCTCTTGCATCGGAAATGTTTTGGCATTGTCTAGTAGTCAGACATACAACTTAATTGTAGGTAACTAGCCAAACATCATGTGGCACCGAAACATTGCCTCCACGTCTTTGTCGTTCCTAATCGGCGTTATTACGTAAAAAATTGTACAGTTGTCTCCATTAAGTAAAGGATGACGATAAATTATCTCCTCAACGCATCGTTCTAATTTTTTTCCATTCTATCTTCAAAATGGAAAAAATCAAAATTGACATGAATTTTGAATGCATCAGTGTCGCATCGCTGCGAAGAGGGGCCGACAAGAACAGAAGAGTCACCACCGTTCGTTATTTATCCCAAAGAGAGGGAAAGGAAACGATCAGAGAAAACTTACGAAAAAGGGAGAAGATAGGTCATCGCAACCACATCTTGGGTTCAAGAGTCGGTTATGCAAGGGGAAGGTATGAGCACCCCTCACGTCCATTGTACTCAACGGGATCCACGCTTGTTGTCTATCTAAAAGGGTGTTGTTGCACCCCAAAATTTGCCCACCCTTTTTCTTGGCTGGCTTTTGTTTCTTTGCATTAGCATATCATTGTTCTAGCATTTGCATTGCATAGCATTTTTTGCATTTAGTAAGGGATCAGGAGAGGAGTGATTAGAAAGGGTTTCAAAGCCTAATCAAGAGGTCATATTCAAGTCATCAAAAGTGGTTATCATCAGTTAAGCAGGTCAAAGTCCTGGAAGAAAGGCAAGCAAGTGAATGTGGTTCATCTCCTGTCTAGGAGCTTATATGAGGTTCATCTGAGGATCACAAGCCCATGGTTATGGATAGAGGTTTTTATTGAAGCTCATTGGAGGCCTTGAGGGTCATGGTGGAGTTCATTCAAGTGTTTGTGCCAAGTGTGAAGGGTCACTGTTGAAGGTGTTACACCTAGGGTTTCCATCTGGTAAATCCTCAGTCAACTGTACAATTGAAGGAGATTAAAACTCAATTCAAAGTCTCTATAGTCATGGGATTTTATGTTAAGACATATGAGACATAATTTCAAGTTTAATTCATCAAGGGTTAAGTGTGTGAGAAGTTACTAAATTAGGGTTCTCGGGGTAAAATCCCCTATTTAGTGCCTGACTTCAAGACCACCTATCTCAAGATACAAGTTTCATCTCAACTTTTTATTAACATGGAACTTGTAGAGCATGTTCTTAGCTTTAATTTGAGTACTAGAAGTCTTTGATTGGATTTATAGAACTCAAGTTATGATCCAGACAAGTTACCGGTCATCAGAGGGATGTGATTTTGGTCAACAAAAGTCAACCAACTTCAAATCCATTTTTGACCTAGAAGGATGTTTCTCCTCAACTTTTGGCCAACATGAAAGTTGTATATCTTGGTCTTAGCTTTCCAAATTGTACTATAAGTCTTTCATCTGATTTGTAGAACATAAGTTATGAGGTTTACAAGTTAGGGGTATTTTGGGAAAGTAAGATTACATGTCATAAAATTATAGGTCCATTTCACCAACTTGCATACTTCAAATGAAAATCTTTTCAACATCAAACTTGCTCCAAATGGTGTTATTTGCTTAGTCAAACATTGAGAAGTCATGAATTATGCTTGGAATGAAGGTTTGGTATTTGGAATTTTCATAAAAGGAAGCTTAAAAGGTGAAAATGTGAATTACTTCATTTTTAATCATTTTGGTGCAAATGTGTTGCACCCCAAAATTTGCCCAACATTTCTTTACCTAGCTTATGTTTCATTTCATACACATTAGCATTATCATTTGCATTTCATTGACATGTATGCATGAGATCAAGAGGTATGATTACCAATCAAGGGCTACATAAGACTTTGAAGCTAGCTGGGAGGCTTATTCAGGTGTTCAAGGGTTGATATCCTGGTCAGAGAAGTTAAAAGATCCTCAGAGAGAGTGATTGAAGCCAATAGGGTGTGTCTCCTAACTTGAGAGTTGTGGCAAATCATCAGATGATTCTGAAGCCATGAAGTTAGACTTGAGGTCTTGAAAGAGCTCATGAGAAGTGTTGAAGATCACTTTGAGGCCTAGACAGGTCATTGTACAAGAATAAGAAGCCTCAGCCATGATTGGTGCAACTAGGGTTTGACTGGGTCAACGCTAAGTCAACTGAGGATTTGGAGAAGGTTGAGACTTAATTCAAGAGCCATGTGATCATGGATTGATACATTGAGATGTTATAAGGATGATTCCAAGGTTAACTCATCATGATTGAAGAGTTTGAGAAGTTTCAGGCTAGGGTTTCTAAGACTTGACAGTGTAAAAGCCCCTGGCTTAACCCCTGACTTCAAGGCTATTTAACTCAAGATATGATTGTCATCTCACCTTGACCACATGATTGTTGTAGGGCATGGTATTAGCTTTAATTTGAGTACTAGAAGTCCTTGATTGGATTCATAGAGCTCAAGTTATGAACCAGACAAGTTACAAGTCATCTGAGGCATGTGAATTTGGAGCTTGAAAGTTACCCAACTTGCCTGACACGTTTGCCCTAGAAGGATGATTCCTATGAACTTTTGGTCAACATGAATTTTATTCCTTATCCTCTTAGATTTCTAGAGAGTACTAGAAGTCCTTGATAGTATTTGTAGAACTCAAGTTATGGCTTTGACAAGTCAAGGGTATTTTGGGTATTTGAACATTACAGGTCATTTTGAATCATAAGTCAATTTCACCATCTTGCAAGCCTCAAATGGATTTTTGTTCAACATGAAAGTTGTTCAAAATGATGTTTTTAGCTTTTATAAGTATCAAGGGTCCATTGATATGGATTATATCAAGCATTGGTGGAAAATGTTCATATAAAAGCCATTTTAATGAATTAAGATGAGAAAAATTCAAATAAATTGATTTATGTCCAAACAAGGCAAAATTATAGGTCAAATTGATTGGAAAACACATTTTGGAAACAATGGCAATATTACATTTTTGGTTTGAGGTCAAATTCATGCACTTCCATTTTATTACTTTATGATGAAGTAACATAACAAACTTGGATCATTGGATTGCAAACAAGGGAATAATCACCACCAACCAATTCAATATCTCATGAGATGATGATTGCAAGCAAATTCAGGCCATAATGGAGCAAATACACGACTGTTGCACATGATATTTTGAAGGAGAAATTGAAATTGAAAATCTCATATGGAAGGTTACAAAAGGTTCTGGATGATTCCTCTAGCTTCTATATAACCATTAGAGTATGTTCAACAAGCTTTTTGGAGAAGATTGATGCTGGTTGCAGAGAGAGCAAGTGAAAAATCAGAGGTGGAAACAAAAATCGTATTTGGAGTTTGAAGGAAAATCAAGCCAAATCGAGGAAGATTTGGAGTGAGTCTGGATCATATTGAAGGCTGAATTGAGCAAGGAGTGTGATTGTTCTTCATCTGAGATCAGGTTGGTACAAATCAGTTTCTTGCATAATTTATAGGGAGATATGTAGAAACCTTCATGTGGTTAGGTTCTATTCATGATCTAGATGGATTTAGGATGGTTAATTACACGGTTAGAGACAATGCTAGGTGTTGTGCAATTTCTGTTGGGATGGATTTCTCATGATTCTTGGAGTGTTATTCATGTTTGGATAGTGGAATGTGATCTCTGATGAGTGTAGTTTCCATTAGTGTCATTAATTTTAAGAATCATGATGATCAAGATTTGAGTGGTTTCTGAAACTTTGTTCGGATTTTAAGTTAGAGGAAGAATTAGAGAATTTGGAGATTGGATTTGGATTCAGTGAGAAAAATTGAGTAAGATAGGGTGCTTGATTGTATGGATTGATGAACTGTGGACACCACTTCAACGGAGAAGACGGTGGCGCTGCAGCTCAGGCCACCGTCTGGAGAATTCCCTCCATATGTTTGAATTTTGGGGACGAAGCATGTGAGACGTTGGATAGCACCTTGACTTTGACTCAAACCAGGATTACACGGCCACGATTCGCTGATGAAGTCTGAACACTTTGTGTTTGAATGAAACTCACCGTTTCATTAATTGAAGCATATTGGGCTTAAGCCTCAGATCACTATCCACACCCCCGTTTGGCCCAAGTCTGTGAATTGAACTGGAAATAATTGCTATTTGATACACAACTTTTATTAACTTCCATTATTTTTCTTTATTTTACTCATTTCATATAGTTTAGGAAATAATTCATGGAAAATAGAAAAATTAGTCAATTAATTCCAGATTTTTCCCCCTGATTCATGATTGAATCTAGAATTTTGTTGAATTAAAAGATTAGGAATTCATGCATGTTTTATTTTAATTGCATTTTTTGTATTTTTATTTGATAATAATTCATAATGGTTGATACCTTGACTTGTGGATTTTTGTGTGATCATTTGATGATGATTTTTGGACTGATTTTTTGTGTGTAGCTAGTTTAGATGTGCATGATCCTCTAGTAATTTTCTCACATTTTTGTGAAGAAGTTTAGGGCAGTTTTCTGTATTGGACTTTAGGTGCTCTAGTTTTGGGGTTTAACCTTAGTGCCCCATGGTTTAGGATTTAATTCTAGGACTTTTTGGATGATTTGATCTCTGGAATTAACATGGTAGAGTCATGATTGACTTAGGTTCCCATAGTTATTTTTGTAGGATTTTACAATTGGTTTTAGTGTTTTAGTTAGGATTAACTTCAGTACTAGGTTTTAGGTGATCCTAACTTGCTAACTCAACTAAATTGATTTCTTTAGTTCCCTTAGATTAGGGTGTTTCTTCTCTTGCTCTTGGATGATGATGAAGACTTGTGTGGGCTGCTGTGGAATGCATGGTGGAGCTTGTACTTGAAGATTTCTCTCCCTTTGGTGTAGTTTGCTTAGGGTTAAGGATTAGGGTTTTAGGGAGATCTCTTAGAATAG